TACCATGTTCAAAGAGGACAAGAACAATACCAAGAATATGAACCCCATGGGGTTCCACCTCCGCCTAGAAATAGGCGAGAGAGGAAGGACGAGGCAAACTTGAGAAATCAAGCAAGAACGTCACAACCCTCTCGTTATCAGGCAAAGGAAAATGCAGATCTTTTGAATTGGAAGTTGATAACAAAATTTGCCCTTCTCCCAAGAGTTGAGAAGAACCCTGGTTCTAAGTCACTTCGTACCCCCAAAGATATCCAAATATGAAGGTAAAGGTGACTCGACAAAGCACTTCAACAACCATAGGACCCACACATCTCTACGAGGAGCCTCGCCAGCGCTAAAATGCAGAGATTTTCATCTCACACTAATGGGGGCTGCAGAAATTTGGTACAGCCGCATCCCAGCTGGCAGCATTAGGAGTTGGCCAGACCTTAAAAAGGCCTTTCTAAACCAGAATCTATCTAGTAAAGAAGGGAAAGCCCCCATCCAAAGGCTGCAAGACATGGGACTGCAGGCAGGTGAAACCTTGAAAAACTACTGGCTTGCTTCACAGACGAGATGACCTCTTACGAATAGGTTACGGATAGAGAAGTCATTTATGCTCTAAAGGGAGGCCTCAACATGAACACTCTATTCTAGAGAGATGTTCGGAATAAAAATCCCACTTCTTGCGATGTCTTGGTGGAAGTGATGAGAAGCGAAATTGTTAATGAGGAGCTGATTGATCACCGCAATAGAATTTCGCTAAGACTCCCACTACCTCAAGGGCAGACTAAAGTCTGAAGTGCTAAATAACCTCAATTCATAAACATTGATGTGCATACGTTCAGAAACTTATAAAGGTACACGACCTTCTAACACTTATACAAAATTATGAGTTTGATATTATTATTGGAGTGGACTAAGTTCGGATTATACTGAAGAGCATGACAATACATTAAACAGAAACACTAAGTGCATGAAGTAAATAACACTAGTACATGAGCTAAAAGAATTTTATTTATTTAACAAATACTTGACTCGGACCTGGGGGACTATTGTGATTCTGGTATCTTAGTATCATTACATTATTACTGCTAGGATATGCATTATTTTATTGCTGCCGGGTACGTACTTCACATCACTGCTAGCAGGTTATGATGCATATTATATGTCGGAGAAATTTAAAATGTCACTATTCACTTTATCGTTATGAGTAATTTGAGGGACAAATGGACCCCAAATTTATTTGGTATATGTGCAGTGAATATATTATATTGTATTACAGGATTGGTTTAGTCCATATTACAAAGGAGATGTTGCCGAAATTTCGACAAATTATATGCAAAATCTATTTTTCAAGACAATTTGTAAGTCATCGCTTATTCAGGCTGCCACGCATATTTTTTGAGGCAGTTCGTAAGTCCTCACTTATCTGAGCTGCTTATATTTTCGAGACAATTCGTAAGCCCTCTCTTATTCAAGCTAGCACACATATTTTCTACGGTAAATCGTGAGTCCTGATTTATTGAAACTGCTCACCTATTTGGGACTGAAGCATATTTTCGAGACAGTTCATAAGTCCTCGCTTATCAGACTTTCTTACATTTTTTAGATAATTTGTAAAACCTCACCTACTGACATGTTATATTTCGAAGTCCGACTCGCACATGAATGTACGACTCAAACTTGGGGGATTATTGTTATACCCATAAAATATTTCCTATTGGGCTTGGACCTTGGCCCATTTGTTTCTTTATATATATGTGTGATCCAATTCAATTAATGTATGTTCTCTAACCCTATCATCTTCCCCTCTTTCGCCTCTTGCACTCTCTTTTCCTATTGTCCGGTCGTTGATTTGATCGTCGGAGTGCAAACGGTCGTTGAATATTTTTCTAGACCAGCGGCCTTTGCCTCCTAACGGGGTGTTCCAGTGTGCAGGTGATGTCCACGTGAAGAAAAGGTGAAAGGGATTCTATTGACGCATTTTTTGTGGTCAACATTGTTCATAATCCACGCAACTATGTCCAAGAAGACACAAGAATCAAGTGTTTAGATTCTGAATCTGAGCTCGGAAAGATTTCAAGTTTTGATGAAACTAACTGCAGCCAAGAGTCCTGTATGGTGGCGCAGCCTGCAGATCCGCCACCTTTCGCCACCGATTTGGCAAGAAGTGGAAGAACACCACAAAGACCAGTAATAGGTGGTGGAAGAGGCCCTCAGACCAATGCCTACCCCAGTTGAACTTCCATTATATAGTTTCTTTTATTTGCTTGTTGTCTAATGGTCATGTTAGTCATCACTTCTAGTGCATGTAAAGCCCTTCTCTCAAACTACTACTAATTCGTACTTGTGCTTTTCTTAAACTTTTTAGTAGACGTCGCTCTACTGTAAATTTTTTGGGTACTTATTTTGTTACTAAAACAAATAAAAATTAGAGCTTACTCTAGAGGCAGACCTCCCAGTTTAAATTTCCCCATTTATCAATAGTCAAAATTTCTCATTCAATCAATTGGAGGTGGTTCTGATTATGATACATCTTCGTTGGATGGAGTGCTCGTGCTCGTGCTCGTGCTCGTGCTCATACACTGTCTAGTGCATCTTTTCTTTTCATGGTCCAGTGAAAAGTACAACTATCTCCCAACCAGCACAAAACACGGAATAAATTTGCAGAAAATAAAGGAACACAGGTGAAATTCCGTTGAGCATCAACTAAAGAATATTGCCACTGGGCATCGATAGAAGTAGGAATACAATATTGTCCCTAGATCGATACTAAAAATGAGATCTTTATTTCTCACAAGCTTCTCAAGAATAATCAAAGCTATTGTTGATTATAAAGAAAGAAAAAGAAAGGTTAGCATCTGTATCCAACTAACCGAAAACGAGGGCAAAGCGAGCATTTAAGCTGAAGTCTTTAGAACCTCAATATTCAGCCGTCCAAATTGAGACCTGCCATCAATTATAAGTCGCAATTCCAACATCACGACTTAGATTATTATGTGGATTGGGTCATCGATCCATCATAGATTAGACCAGTTACCCTTTTATATTGGATCGAGTGTAGTGATGGATCCAGGAATTGATCTGAACTAGGACGAATCCATCTCTAGGGCTCTGCATATGTGAGAGCTTCCCGAAATATTAATACTTATATATTTAGGTAAATTCAAAAGAGTGTGTGTGTATGTGTATATGTATGTACAAGGTCTCATATAAAGTTGTCCTAAGCTCTCAAACTTTCAAGGTCCGCTGATTTTAGTTCTAGCACTATAATGTATTTTTTGCTTGAATATTGGCCTCTTTCTTATTATAAAATTAGAAGTACAATATATATATATATATACAGAAATATCATAAATGATCTAATGAGCACCGGTGCTCATCTTATCCTAAGCACCAATGAAATGGTACATTAATTCATAGGTGGATTGGAACTCACAAATATATAGAATGAACAAAAGCATAAAAAGGGACTTTCCTAACGAAAAGGTGATAAAAACATATACGTCTCACCTGAAATAACAAAGAGGCCAGCTATGATATGATGCAGGGGCGGAGGCACACTTGGGCAAGGGTGGTCAGTGAACCAACCAATTTTTTTTTAAATTAAAAAAAAATAAAAAATAAAAAAGTTCTTCCTTTCTATCCTTTTCTTTGCTTCTTAATANTAAATCTAGTCAATTCTAATTTGGCACTAAAAATTAGACTGAACCTGAAACAGTTAGAAGTACAAAAATCAAAATGAAAAATTTGTCGTTTTGAGTTTTTTTTGTAAATTTTTAACTTGTTTTCAAAAACGAGTTTTCAAAAATAGGAAATAGAACGTGTTTTCACTATTTTGAAAAATCGAAAACAGAAAGCGGCTTGAAAATAGTAAAGAGAACAAACCCTTAATGTCCTAGTTAACATGACTATTAATACTAACCTGAAACAATTAGAAGTACAAAAACCAAAATGAAAAATTTGTCATTTTGAGTTTTCTTTGTAAATTTTTAACTTGTTTTCAAAAACGCGTTTTCGAAAATAGGAAAGAGAACGCGTTTTCACTGTTTTGGAAAATCGAAAACAGAAAACGGCTTGAAAATGGTAAAAAGAACAGACCCTAAGTTCCACTCGAAAAATTATTTGTTGTTATCTTTGACATTTTGAAAACACTCAAAACGCGTTTTGCAAATTTTGACTTGATTATAACTGAAAACACTCAAAACGACAAATTTGTCGTTTTGGGTTTTCTTTGTAAATTTTTAACTTGTTTTCAAAAACGCGTTTTCGAAAATAGGAAAGAGAACGCGTTTTCACTTTTTTGAAAAATCGAAAACAAAAAACTATTTGAAAATGGTAAAGAGAACAAACCATTAATGTCCTAGTTAACATGACTATCAATACTAATCGTGCCATAAAATGTTGTAATACTAGCCTTCAGTTATAACATGGAATTAAATTGAAATATTATATTTTATATTATTATTGTTGCCATTTACATATGTCATTGTTATTAGACATAAATATTATGCTAGTCATAATTTGCTTTAAATCCTCATGACATAGCTAGCATACAAGGGGTTACTTATACTTTGTATACACATATATGACACGCTAATGTTTGGTATGCCCCCAAAATTATTTTCAGCAACACATTTTATAGGATTCACAACTTTTATAAATTTTTAACTATATATTTCATTAAATTTTTATCAAAATCTATTAAAAATTTGATTTTTATCAAAATCAAATAGGGACAATATCTTTTGGGATTCTACTTCATATAGTTGTCTTTTGGAATACATTCAAAGGCTTGTTATATATCTCCTCGTGATCGAGTATATGTACATTCAAAGGCTCGTGTTCGTCTAGAGTTTTGAATTTTCGTCTTAGACAAGATTAGATCCTATTTTTAAAAGAAAATGAATCAAATTCTTGTTCATTTTGCTGTCTAGTACACTAGTAAAAATATGAGCTCATTCATTTCAAACCATAATGTAGATCAATTAATAATTCTTTTTGACATCAAATTGCAATCATAGAACCAACTTTTCTAGGCCGTTGGATTGGTGAAAGCTTTGCAAAATGGAAGCAATAAAAAGAGACTCATTATCTTCATCATCCGTGGAACCCATTTCTTTAAAATTTTGTTCACTTTCCAGCTCTGGAGTTGGCGGTGGTGGAGACGAAGGCAGAGGCGGAGGTGGAGGAGGTGGTGGTGGTGGCGATGAAGACAAGGGTCCGAACAAAAATGGATAAAAAAAATTAGTTCGAGCTTTTTCAATACCACTAAAAGAGATGGATGAAAAATCATATGCCAATGCAGCTTCTTCAGCAGTGTCAAATGTGCCCAGCCAATGCCTTTCTTTGGTGTGTGGATTTCGAATTTCTGCTGCGTACCGTCCCCATGGCCGGCGGCGTACGCCAAGATATCTGGTGGACTGCCTAGAGCTCCGCCGCGCTGGGTTTCTCATCTGAGGAACGCTTTCCATTTTGCTTCTTTTACTCTTGAACAATTCTTCACTATGTAAAACTTGTGTGAGCGAAATATGATAAGTTGGCGTTTTTATAGCACAATGCAGGAACACAATGGTCTTTTTTCAAAAAGTTTGGACAACTTTTTTATGTTAGTCTGGACATGATAATACAAAAGATAGACAATGAAAATACTTATTTTTAATTTTATTTAATCTTATATAGTTTAACATATCAAACATATCGCTATAATGTTGTTGTTGCAAAAAGAGTCACATCAAGAGGATGCAATGTATATTTATGAAGATGTGACTTAATATTTCGATTTATTAGACACTACTCGACATAACAAATACAATAATATCAACAAACTAAACTTTATTTTCAATAAAGTAAGGGCGACTGCATAATTTATATTTCGTTATTTGTTTTATTTGTTGTTAGATTTAATTATTGGAAAATTTATACAACTAGATCCTTTATTTTTCAAATATAATATAACATATTAAAAAGAATAAATTGCTTTGTCCAATCTCTTCCCACTGCAAAACTATCTAATATTTATATATTTAACAATGTATGACATAATATGCTTGGTGGAAGCATTGTCCATGTTTGTGTAATGGATGTTGGGCATGTGCAATTCTTCCTTATTTTCCTCGACATTGACATAGACAGATTGAGCAAAATGCCTGAATTTATGCACTTCATTTTGCATTATTAGTTGTTGACTTCAAAATTATATCTCTTTCAATGTGTGATAGGTTGTTTTGTGAATAGTTTAGTGGACTTAAGCATTTGATGACAACAATAGAAAGTGGGTGCAAAATCGGAGTCGTATTATCTAAAGAATTCGTTTTGAACAAGATGTGTATAGTGAGTTAGGTTGTGCTTCGTAAGTATGTATTATTTGGTAGTTATTTTCAATCAGATATGTAAGTTAAATCATATCCTAAAAGTGTAAAAAGAGTTAGTCTAAATCGGTCTGGCTTAGGAGTTGCAGGCTAGGCATAGTGACCTCCAACATGTTATAGTATCCACTACTTTAGACATATTATGCTATTAATCAATGCAAAAACTGATATTTAGAGTATTTAGTCACATTTCTTTACCTTTGCATCTAAAATTTCAAATTTGGTTCATTCTCAGTTACGCCCCTGTGAATTTGAAAACCCATGAAGCATGGAGGTTTCCATACTCCAGCTCATTTCAATAGATATAGGGTGCTTTAAGATGCTTCGTATCAAACTATGAAATCTACATTCACATCAATCGATCTGGAGGAAGGTCAAAATATTTTGATAAAGACCCTCATCAACATTAATCATGATAGTCATGTAGATTCGTTCCCATGGTTTGATCCTTCCTAGTAAAACACGGCGATTGGATTGAGGCAGGTGATATTTATCCTATTGTCAAATTCTGCATTCGGGATATATAACAATATGTTACTTAATTTTGCTTTAATCGAGTTCGATTGGGGGGGTGGGGGGTGGGGTTTGAATACTTGAAAATGCTATTGGGCTAGAGGCTTAATATTGCTATAAACTTTCATTCCATTATTTTGCAACTTGAGTAAATGTTGGTTAAGCTAAATTTGGGATATTACACCACCCGCCATGTTCACTTTGTATATTTCAAATTTACTATACAATGTTTTAAAATTTTAAAAAAATTTGTGTAGAATGGCTTATCTCAATTAAAAATCCATCTAGTCCACATGCCCAATGCGTATGGTCTCTTCTCTCATCTCTTCCCCTCCCCGGAATCATATGACTTGCAAGTCGTGACGGTGGTGGTGGTGGTAGGAGACTGCGATGGAGTGTGGTGATGTAGGTAGGGATAACATTGACGAGCATAGTGGTTGGAAGGGAAGTTACTGGATGCGAGGTGTGATAATTTTCTGGTTGTTTTGTGGAGGAGATCAAAGTTGTATATTATGAAATAGGCTTCGACAGTGACGAGCGATGGAGCAATGGTGAGAGATTAGTCGACAGCTAGTGGCATGTAGGTTAGGGTTTGGTTGATTGCTTTCTAGGTGGGTTATAGTAGAAATAGGCAAAAGATGGTAATGGTCAATGATGTCGATGAGTTGCGACAATGGAATGGGTTGATGGTGGTGTAGATTTGGTGGGAGGTCCGGATGGTGGCGAGCACCCAGTAGTATATAACATGATGTTACAAGTGGCGACAACCCGATGGAAGTGTAATGAAGTTTGTTTTGAGTGATAATAGCGATGACACAAGTGGAAACCAGTAGCGAAATGTGTATCTCAATGTGTTACACGTGTAACAACTATATTATAAAGTGTAATATTTAAAAAATAATAAGTAAGAAGAAAATACATTATTTTGGAAAATAAAAAGGTTAAATAGTGATTTGAGAAATAGTATATATATATTTAGTTTATTCCTAAAGTTCTCTAAAAATTACTAATAAATTTATATAAAAGTAAATAAATAATATTTATATCGTTTAAATTCAAGATATACAAGTCACACAACTTCTAGCTTATTGTCAAAATAGATAACACTTTTTACACATAAATAAAAAAGTAAGTTATTTATATATGTTTAACTTAATTATATTCGTTTAATAATTCTAGCCTGTTGCACCTCATTTTAATTGCTCTAAAGGTTTTCAACATTTGCTCATTATAATATATATGTCCTCTGTAGAGGAATTGACCTTCGATTTTGGTGGAATTCGGGCTTAGTTCTACTTACCAATATCAAACACAATCAACCAATTTCTATAACCCAACAACTAATATTATAACTCTTTGGTTGCCACTTCTAATATATCCCCACAAGAACACAAGATGGTGGTGTTTGCAAAAGGAGCCACAAAGGCACAAAGAAAGGCAAAGTAGACCGCACAAAGCAGAGGCAGTAAGAAGCAGCCACAGTTTCTCTCTTTCATTCACAAAGCACACACGGTTCCAACACTAGAAAATGGGCATAGGTTAGCTTATATCATTAATTGGGCCAAGAAACAAAGTAATGGGCCAACACATTAGAAGGACCATCCAAGAGTTAAAGTGGCCATGAATAACATTAACTAATTAAGTTGTTTCCAATGACCTGAGTTGTTTTCAGGTTGAACTTATAAATTGATTGTGTTGATAGTTCCTATGGAATATAATCCAAACTGTTTAACATTATTGCTCGAGATTTATTGGATATAAAAAAAAGGGAACATCCTTAACTCTTTTTTATCAAATTGTTATCGTAAACCTTCTAAATTGACACATATGTGGAAAAAAAAAAATACTTTGTTGAACTTTTGCTTTATTGTTTTTTAGAAAAAATATGATGGATAAACACGTTGTTTTACACCCTTCTAGAGGACTTTTTGAATGAAAATTGTTATTTGAAACTAGATGTACTAATTAATGAAATGTTGATGACAATAATGTGTCGAAAAAGTTAAGGATTTAAATGCTATTATGACCAAATATTAAGAACTTCAATTGCTATTAAAATATATTGTAACTAATAAAAATTGTTGTATGAATATAATAAATTAAACAAACATGCCAAAAATATTCTTATTTTTACATTCATTTTCTCATTTTTTCTTGGTTTTTAGAACATTCTCGTTATCTACCAATAGATCTATCCACTAGTTCATCCATTTTTAAGCATTCACAAACCATTTTATTCAAACAACTCCATCAATCCTTGAAGCACTCATCAACCATTTTGTAGATTCCATGGCAAGAAATTGAAATAAATGTGACATATTCAGCTCTCACAATATATTTCCACAACCATAAACATCATTTTTCGAAAAAGATTTTGAGTCATTTTCTCAAAACCAACATTCACCATTGTGAAGAATGAACATAGTTCTAGAAATGGACTAAGCTATCACAACACTTTTTCGATAAAGTTTATACATATATATAGAGAGTGAATATGAGAACATAGTTAAATCAGTTAGTTCTTGATTTATTTTAATTTCAACTGAGTTACTTTTCTTTTGCTGCGTTTGAGCCCCATTTTTCTTAGAATAGATTTTGTAACAAGAGATTTTCTGAATAATATGTGATTAAAAAATTAAAAAAAATTGAGTTTACATACAAAATTATTTATTTTAGAGACTGCTTAATTGAAAATAAATTTGAAGAAAAATGTACTTTAAATAATGAGATTCAAACGTGAGCTTGACAGAATATTCATCTTTATTGGATAAGGGTTAAATCCATCAATAACCACCAAACTTTATATTTAGCGTCATCATAATCATTCAATTTGATTTTGTTTCACTATGATAATCCAACTTTATACTTACCATCACCATGGTCACCCGATTTAATTTTATTTTACTGTGATTACTCAATTTCATATAATTTTTCACCATGGCCATTCAACTTCCTTTCACAATTTTCACCAATTTTAAAATGGATAAAACAGTGACTTTGCATTATATATATAAAATAATTTTTTAAAAAAATTAAAATTAAAACCTGTTTAAAAAAATAAAAAAAATGAAAACTTATTTTTAAAAAAGTAACTTTAAAAAATAAAATAAAAATTTATTTTAAGAAAAGTTACTTAGAGAAATAAAAAGTTATTAAAAAAATGTTCCTTGAAAAGAAAAATAAAATAAAATAAAATAAAAATTTGTTTAAAAAAAACTTTTTAAAAATAAAATAAAAACTTATTTTAATTAAACGTTACTTAGAAAAATAAAATAAAACAAAAACTTGTTTTAAAATAAATAAAAAGCTTTTTTTTTTTCAAATTTATTTACATATATAATACAAAGTAATCGTTTTACCCTCTTTAAAATTAATGAAAATTATGAAAAGAAGTTGAGTGACCATGTTGAAATGTTATATGAAAGTGAGTGATTATAATGAAATAAAATTAAATTGGGTGGTACAGTGACACTAAATATAAATTTGAATGGTCATGATAAAATAAAATCAAATTGAGTGACATTAATATAAAATTGAATGAGCAGTAGTGAATTTAACATTGGATAATATTGTTGTTCACCACATTGACTTCTATTTTTTTATTACAATTAATGTGACATAAACTAAGGTGTCACAAAGTACAATCAACTTCAACATCAAGCGAAGTAGTACTTGACCTACAACGGCAATGTCCCCTACATTAGACCAAGAAACGTGCAAGAAAAGGGGTAACGGGACCCAAAACTAAACCAAGAAAGAAAAATCAATTTGAAAGCGCAATAATGCTGGGGATAATGCGTGGGATCCCACCAATCAATTCTGGATACTGTACATAATTAATTACATTACATACTCTTTGAAATTTAAAAAAAAAATTATAACAAGATCTCTTGTTTGCTTTACTGTGTACTGTCATCAAAACCTAGAAAAAAGTATAGGCTTGCACAAAAACACAAAAAAAAAAAACCCAGCTTCAATTCGTAAAGAAATGTTCTTTTCGAGGATGAATTGAGAAGAAAAAACGATTGAATTGTTTTTGTTTCTCTCTTTTCCGACACTCAGGCGTCTGCTAAATCTTGAGGTACTTTTATCCATTATCTCTGTCACCCTTTTTGATTTTTGAATCCAAGCCTTGATTTTTCCTGTTTTAATTTTGTTTTTGTTGTGAAAATCAATGTTGGTTTGTTTGTTTGTTTCTTTTTTTGTTTTTTGCTCTTGATTTTTTTTTTCTGTATTTGAGCTAACTCTACGTGATTTGCGTTTTCGGGAATGAAATTTTGCTCAAAATGGTCCCCCTTTTACCGTTTGCTTATGTTGGTAGATTTGTTCTTTTTTTGGATAGATTTCGGAAATTGGGTGTCTTCATGTGAAAATAACCATCGAAAGATGTTTGCTTTGTCTTAAGATCCGAAATTCTGCTAATTTGCATAATTAACTATTCAAACTAGTTAACGAATTGCTTAATTTTGCATCGTGTTTTGCTTATTCTAGCGTGTCTTGCGATTTCTGTCGAATTTTTCTTATCCTCGTGTGCCTTGTGGAGGAGACAATAAGCATACTTGATCTTTATTGCGAAGGCTTGGGAAAGAACTGAATTTTTCCATTCATTAGTTTTCTTTTAGCTGCATTTTTCATTGCTGACTTCTCGAATGCTTGAATTTTTGGCCCTTTTCCAGGGAATTAGTTAGTTTTCTGCTAATTTAGTTACTTGGACTTGGAAGCATGCATGATTTGCTAATATTGGGTTGCTACAGATGTGAATTTTCAAATGCCGATTCTAACGTATTCACGTAGGCAATTGTGTAGTACGAAGATCAGTTAATTTAATTCCATGTGAACAGCTAACATTTCATTAATGATTTTACCACGATGTTCTGAATAGTTTGGTAAATCATTTAATGTATTAGGATAAGTCCTGATTTGAAGCACTGTAGGACAAAATGAGCATATTATTTTGATAATTGTACTTTTTGCAAGTGCATTTATTAATGTCGAATTTTTTTTTATAGAAGGTAGGAAAAAGGAGCACGTGTAATTGATAAATGATATCTGTGGACATTCGGAAACATGATAAGTTCATTTAAAGTATTTGCAACTTCATGACTTAATGCATTGCTGGTGATTAACAAAAGGTCACACCTACATACGATAAAAATATTAGGAAAGTTGTGTTTATGATATTTGCTGTTTGTTCAGGACATTTTGATTAAATGTGGTAACTGTAAGCAATGTAATAATTAATTGATTATACTACCATGAATGAATTTTGGATTTTTTTCGTCTGTTAACAAAAACAGATGCTCCTACCTACAATTCCATGCTTGAATTTATCACACAATTCATCATTATATGATGATTTCATTTAATTCGGTTATGTCATGTAATCATTCTCACTGGCATAAAAAAGAACCATTATAACTACAATGAGAGGGTTGGATTTCAAGTCATTATTTACTAAAATGTGTGATTTGACAAGTGTGGGGTTCACATATTTATGTCAGGTAGCAGCTTGATGAGGAATTAATTATCAGGATTTGTAGAAAACCAGGTTTTCTAGTTTTGTGAGCATGGATAAAGTATCCTCTGACTGTCCATATCCAGGATGTTTCTTTTGTGTCATGAAGGAAGGGAGCCCGAGCAAGCGCAGAGCTAGCATACTAAAGTTTTTCCGAGATCTTCCTTCACAGGATAACGATGGTCAGGTTCTACCTATTAGTGGACTCTGGAATACTGCGATGGCACATCCTAACGATCCCGAATTCATCGAGTTGGGAATATTTGAATGCATGGCAGCGCTTATCTGGAAGGGTTTAAAGAACCGCCGCTGGCTATCCCACGACCAAAATATATATATCCCATACTATGCAGCACATATAATTGGATCTTACACTATGAATATGGAAGAATTTGCAGAAACGGCAGTGCGTGCCGGGGTAATCCCACCCTTAGTTGAACTTCTTAGAGGGAGGTTAACATGGGTTGAACAACGAGTGGCTGTCAGAGCTCTAGGGCATTTAGCAACCTATGCCAGCACTTTTCCTGCTGTAGCTAGTCATGGCGAGATTTTAGAGCTCTCCATGCAGCTGGCAATGAGTTCACTTGAAATTGTTTACTCCCACTTTTACCAGTATGTTGACCGGAGGTTCGGTTATCATTGTGATCTTCTTACACGTGGCATGGGCGGTGTTGAAATGGAGTCAAGGAAGGCTGAGGAATGGGCTAGCCAGCTTCAGTGTTGGTCCCTTCAACTCATCAATTGCTTTGCTTTCAAATCTGAATTTCTTCCGACTATATGCAAACCGGAATTTCTAACAAAGCTTCCAGGCATGTGGGGCGGCCTTGTTAATGAAAACTCGCCGGCTGGTATTGGTTTATTACGGACAATTTGTCATCATAAGATTGGTAGGGGCCCAGTCGCTAGCTGCACTGGCATTATAGAGGCATTGTGTAATATTGCACGATCATCAGATGACTGGCAGTATATGGCCATCGACTGTCTTTTATGGCTGCTCCAAGATCCAAATATTAGTAATAAGGTAATTGATCTGAGTGCCATTTGCCATAGAATTTATTCACTACCAGTTGTTAATAAGATGTTTCTTACTTTAACATGCTGATTTTGTTGTTCTACACATTTCATTAGAATCTACATGCACTAAGAGCCCGTTTGTTTCTCATTTTTCATCCATAAAAATGAAAAATATGACCGTTATCCATCACATCAAGCCATCAATTTTGAATTTCTATCTCTTGTGTAGGGTCCAATAACGACTATATTTTTCATTCTCATTCTACAATAATGAGAATAAACGGGCTCTAAAATGCATTTTGGAATAGTATTTTGATGAAAAATGTGTGGCTAAAAAATAAAGTAAAGTTTGGGTTTGCGTGTAATATTATTTTATTGAAAAACGTGGTTAAAAATTAGATAGAGAAAAATGTATTTTAGAAATAATGGGGACCAAATAAGAGCTTAATAAAGCTTTAGGGTTAAACATACTTTTTGTTGCCTCCCTCTAGCTTTTTATCATTTTAATAACCAAACTTGTTTTCATTCCCAGTTTGTCAATGAAGTTTTAACAGATGCAATATATAACTTCCGTATTACTACAATATGAGATTTGTTGTCTTCACTTGGCAACAAATGAAGAAATTTTTTCACTAAAGGCAAAATGCTAAAAAACATGTATGATGTATTTGGGAACTTGCGTTCATAAAGTGATTTTATCCATATCAGATCATTTTGGTGTGTTCTACGTAATAACTTAAATTGATTATTTAAGATTTTTGCAAATATTTGTCTGGTTGGATTGTTTGTCATCTATCTATATAAAATTTTACCTTGCAATATTCAGTATTTAAAATTTTTAAGGTGTCCTTGTATTTCAGTACTTTGGACATAGCTTTATTAGCTCTGTTCCAGACCACATTAGTTTTCTTATTCATTTTCTGTCACACATCGATTATCTTTTTAGCCCTTTTTCTTTCTTTGAAATGAACAAGCACGAGTTTTAAACTGCTCAAATTCTTTGTTTCAAGAAGCATATGAATTGATTCTCCAAGACTTCTTTTCACTATTGACTTGTCCTTTTTAGTCAAAGCATGTCCGAATTGAATGTTCATTTACCTGTGCATGATGAACTGTGTAAGAGAAGTCATGAATATACTTAAAAAGTCCAAATATTTCCTGCCTAGTCTTTTTCCTGCGAGTGTATGATCTCTTATCTCACCTATCATGTGGCTCTTGTAAGGCATGAATTGTCGAAAATAAGCTTCTACCTTTAAATTGAGTTATTTTCTCTATTCTTTGATATATTGACGACTAAGAATCGTTATTTAGAATCCAAAAATCTATGTTGACCTTTCTACTGTTGACGTTTCCTCTTTCTGATTTTGAACCAGTTTCTTCAAGTGAACATCATCAATTTCCATCTCATATCATAAATAGGAATAAGCAGGTCTTTGATTGAAGACAAACTGATTACAGTAAAATAAGATAACAATGGCCTATGGAGGGCTTTGACTATAAGACTAACTCCCCTTTATCACTTTCTGGTTGCTTGCCTAGTGGTTACTCCTACTCCCCTTTTTATAACCAGCCCAGTAACCACCTTCTGTTTAAATAACAATATCTGATGCCCTAGTCTGTTGCTGATTCCCGCCCACTTGTCTACCAGCCTTCTTAGCCCTTCTAGAGAAAGTGTATATGATGGGAGGTCTATCAGTTTCCTCTTTCTGATTTGGAACCAGTTTCTTCAAGTGAACTTCATCAATTTCCATCTCATTTCATAAATGAACGGACTGGCCATGTCAGATTAACTTAATTGTTCTAACGTATGGAGTTAGTGCTTGCTTGGCTAAGCTTTCAAGTGCTTATAAGCAGTGGGTCTTAAGAAATATGTGATTAAAAAGTAAATGAAAGTTGCGAGTCCAAAGGATGGTTAAAAATGATGTTTGACCAGCTTATAAGCACTCAAAAAAATCCATTACATATTCAAATATTTAAATTTCCTTGCTCTACGCAGGTCATTGATAAGGCTGTACCTGCATTAGTTGACCTTGCAGAAATCTCTACTCTTGGGGATCATAAAAAACTTGGGGATTCAATTGTTAATGTTCTTCGGGAATGCATTCAGTCACAAGGAACAGGCCGCAACTCAATCAGTACCCATGCAAAAGAAGAGGTAGAGGAACTACTAAATTCTCGACAGAGATTAAAATGGGAGAAGAATATGCCAAAAGAGGATCTTCATATCAAACAGGCAGCTGCTTTAGTTGTAAAACTCGAAGGAAATTCCCTGTTCTCATCAGGAGATATTTCTGGTGCTGCTTTGAAGTATTCAGAAGCATTGGCTTTGTGTCCAATGAGGTCAAAAAAAGAGAGAGTTGTACTGTACAGTAATCGAGCTCAATGTAATCTTTTATTACAACAGCCCCTGGCTGCCATAAGTGATGCTACACGTGCACTTTGTATTCATAGCCCAATTAATCGTCACGCAAAAAGCCTTTGGAGACGAGCACAAGCATATGACATGCTCGGTTTAGCCAAGGAGAGTTTGTTAGATGCTATTCTCTTCATAAATGAGTGCTCCCAATCGAGCGATCCCGATCTGTCCTTGAGGCAAAACAAGGTTCCTGACTATGCTGAGCGTTTAGTTAAGAAACAAATGCGTGCTGCTTGGTTATTTAGAGAGGCTGCAATTAAACATGGGGGAGTACAATGCGAAGGGGACGCTGGAGATATGTATGGACAAGAGACTGATGATTCTGAATGGGAAACTGCAAGTGAAAGTGATATAGGAAATGATGAAAGGGATGACTTTGGTAAGAATGATCGTGCATGGAAAGCTGACATTGAACGGAAAGAAAGATACAATAAAGCTATGACAAAAGGTTACACTTCAACTTTTGATTCTAAATACTAGGTCTATTATACTCAGTATGCAGTACCCAGAAAGGGTCACTTTATCTCATAGTTTTAGCCTTTAGGAATGTGTTTCTTTAGTGTGGTCATGTTTGATCTCGGGTTTTTTCACACTTGAGCAAGCTTGAATTTTCTTGCGCCCATAAAATAACAAGAAAAATCTGATTCATAATGTGAAAACTCAAGAAAAATCTAAGATTTACTTCCTTCCTTTTAGGTTATTTATTAACTTTTTATTCTTTCAAAATTTTCAGTTTCATCTGCTGATTTTGGGTATGCTTTATTAAAATTAAAGTGATAAAATGGAACTTGGTCGTGCCAGTTTTCCTACGAATGTCAAAATATTATAGGCATTCTGATATAATTCCAAAGTTTGTCTTTTCAAACAGTTTGAACCATGATTTTTGTTTTGCTTTCTTACATGTACGCTTCCCTGGACTGGATTCAGGATACTGGAATTCGATTTTAATTATCATAATTTTTTTACATTTCCGTTGTGTTAAGTTACTTGTAATGCTCTAAAAGGGTTTTACTCTGAGCTATGAAAACTTGTTTTTCTGCAGAAATGTTGTCACTTTTATTTAAACTTAATACTTGTCTGGTCCTTTACATGCAGTACGATATATATGCATTTATGTTATGTATGTAACATTTAGATGTATATTTTCTGCAATCTGTTTATTGCACCCAGAGGTTTATAAAGTCTGATTTCATAACCAGTTGACATTCAAATTTTTTTGTCAATTGTTCTTTTCTCGACTTAATTAAGACTTTGAAATGATGCAGACATGAAGCAGGGATACAGCGTGCTGCTTACAGAGGATGAAGCATAGTCGTGTCAGGACGAGTTAAGAAATCGAATAAGAAAGAGAAATACAAAGAAATGAAATGTTAACGGATTTTCTTGGCTCTTATTGTATCTCAACGATCATGATCCTTTATTGTTGCTCAAGCATTTATTGATGCAGAATCTTGAAACTCCGATGGGATTTTGGAATGCGACATACATTGCATTTTAGCTGCTGCAGCTCATAGAATCAAATACGTGGTTTCTGTGCGCAGTCGAATTCTATTTCTAGTTAAAATGTGTGTTTTTATGTTAGTTTTGTTTAAGCACTTCAATTCATATGCAAACTGGGTATTGATCACTGGTTGTGCTTTATTGTTTGCTTCTTAATGTGTATCTATGTTTATTGTTTTGTAACATTTCATAAAGTTTCTGTATATAAACCAAACCCTTGGGGAATTTTGAGTGGATGATTAACTTTGAACAATTATATTTCTTATAATGGAGAAGTGTATGTCTGGTATTGAACTCCGAAGTACATTGAACAAATTTTAATTATTTTTTATTAATATTATCCACGGATAACTCATTGTCCCTTTAAATTCAATGATCTCTGCAACCATGGCACCTTCCAGGCCATTTTACCTTTTTGGTGCGGGCAGCGGCATGAACGTTGATTACATCTGCGTTTGCAAGTTGGGTAGTTTTGATGGTTTTCCAGATTACTTGCTGGAAGAAAATGTAGAAAGTTTGTCTCTCGGAAGAAGTCAATTTTCTTGGTTTTGATAATTCAAAGGATATAGAAGGCATTGACTTTTATATCATCTCAACATTGATTCTCCTCGTCGCTCCTTGGGAGAAGATTTTGATTTCACCTCTCTTCAAGCTGATCAAGATAATTTTAAACTCATAGCAAAATACAAGCTCGAATATCAAATGGTGATTAGAAACAAATCAAGAGGGCGTTAAAGCATCTGCAATGCCAATGTGGATTGTACTAAAAATCCCAAGTGGGTTATGTACTAAAAAGGTTACTAAGTTTTACCACAAGTTACTTGTTCACCGAAATTTAAAATGTTACTCGTTGCTGACCCAAATTTAAACAAAGTTACATATCCATTATCCATATCATTTCCATCAGTGTTACATATAACAAAATTTCATGAGCAACGAGTAACTTTTTTAAATTTCGGTGAGCAAATAGTAATCTATAACAATGTTCAATGAGCAACGAAATTTTTTTTAAATATCAATGAGCAAATAGTAATCTATAGCAAAATTCAATGACCATTGATTAAATTCTCTCTTAAAATTTCTAATTTCTTGAAGTTTTATGCAGAAACTGATACATGCCTATGTTTGGTGCACATTTTAGGGCTAAGAATGCATTTTTTTTTGTTGTTGTGATGGGGAATGTGTGGTCGAAAATAAATAGAAGAATGATAATAAAAAAATAACGTGGCTCAAACATATATATGGGCAAAAATTTCTATAAAATTCGAGGATGACTGGAAAGAGCCGTCAACGGGGAATGAGTTGCATCATGCATGGAAAATAAAGACAGGACAGCATGTTACTGGGTAGAGGGAGAAGTGCTCAACCCATTGCCTTGAAGTTATGGCGGTCACAATGGTATGCAGCGGCGGTAGTGATGAGTGGATAAATTAATCCTTTAGCCTCCGGTGATGGGGGTGGGATGAGGGAGGTGCTTTGGAAATATGAACTGTTATAATTTCAATTTTTTAATTATTTTATTGAAGAAATATAAACTTACAATTTTGTCCTCTTCAAATTAATCAATAGGTAATCAAATTGATTTTTTTGGATTGACTGACGAAGGAATGGACGGATTCTATCCATTTGTCCTCTTGCTGTAATCAAAATGAAAGATTTGAGACTACAGATGTAAAAATGAAAAGTTTGAATATAATCTGCAACTATTTGAGAGGTTTAGAACCCCAGTTGCAACTTTCCCAAAGTTTTATTAAAACCAAAAGCAGTTTATTATTACAAAGTTACCCCATAGTAGTAAGAAGTAAACATTGAACCCATCTTAAGCAAGGATCATAAAATCTTGGATTACTAGAACACAACCTCAATAGGCTCAAAACCTTTCTCAATTGATGCTTTCACAGCATCAACAAGAATCTGTGTCTTTCTACTGATGGTTGGCCATTTCTTTTCAGTACCCGAACCGTGTTCTTTTATACCGGAAACTAAACCCGAGAACTCCTTCACCATAAGGGCTTCCTGGGGAAGATCTGTATTGATTTTGTGTTCAGTTGGTGCAGGTTCAATCCCAATTGCTAGCTCAGCAAATTTGGTGTTTGCTGTTACATAAAATGGTCCAACATTCTCTTGGAAAGGAATTACAAAGTCATGGACACGTAAATATCCACTGGCACCAAGAACACTGATATCCATAGTTAAATTGGTGAGGAAAGAACAGTAGAAAGTTGCTCGTTTCCCATCGTCCCAACGTAAAGAAGCAGCGCAGGATAGAATTACCCCGTCTTCATTGAACTCTGCATCGGGCAAGGCAGTTACAGTTTTAGGCAGTTCGTAGTCAGTAGCCCACAAGATTGCACGAATACAGTACCACCCGGTGTCCCCAAGAGCACCTAGAGCATCAAGATCTGGCTTCACACGGATGTCGTTTTTCAGAAAATCATCGCCGCTGTTGTATGAAAAAATGCTGTGTATCTGTGAGAAAGATAACATCATTTCCTCAACTTTTTGACATCTACTCGTGCAATCTCTTTACTGGGATTATATATAATAATAGCAGGGCAATGCTGAGTTTGGTGAAAGTAGTTCGCACACGAAAACTGAACATTCAAGATTACTAATATCTGCTCACTCGCTATTCTAATACATACTTATCCGATTGAAAATTGATACTATGCAGATATCAAAGAAATTCCAGTTGACAAATCAGTATTACTAGAAAACAGTACAGTTTGACATCTACAATCTCCTTCATCAATTATTAGATAGTAAGTAATTTTTATGTTGTTCTAAACAGAAATCCGAAAGCCCTTTCGTTTATTACCAGGCTCTTTTCTTGTCCGTACAAATTACAGCATGTTTAGCTAAGCTTAACACGTTAAGTTATAAGCAAATTTCTTTTCAAGTATAATATAAGTTTTAGCACAGCTTCTAGATATAAGTAATTTACTTACTTTGGTAGTAATATTGAAAAATTCACGAGTAAATATTATCAAAATAAACGCACAGACACAGATACCCAAAGCATACCGTTTTAAGCTGGCCAAAACTGTGAGAATCAGAGAGGAATTCTTTCATTTTAGAAGTCCTTGGATGGTGCATCCACATGGTAGCATCCATGAACTGCAGCCCATTGGATTCACACGCCTCCAGAATCAAATCCAGCTCCTTCACGTTCAGAGCCACCGGCTTTTCCAAAAGTATGTGCTTCTTCTTCTTAGCCGCGGCAACCACCCATTGGAGGTGGAGGCTAGTGGGCAGCGGGATATATACGGCGTCGACGTTGGGGTCGTCCAATACGGCATCGTAAGAACCGTATGCCTTGGCTGAAACCGGGAAGCCGTTGTTTTTTGCGAAGTTAACAGCTTTCTCGAGCGATCGGCTGCCAATAGCAACGATAGTGGAGTTGGGGCTGAGTATCATGGCGCGGGACACTTTGCGAGCTATTTCAGCACAGCCCAGGATCCCGAAACGCACAGGCTGCTGCTCGGCGGCCATTGTTTAAGGCAGTAGGGATAGCAAGAATCTGCCGGAGGTGCGAAATTCGGGCGAGAAATGTGTGGATAAATAGTGCATCTGCACTACACACACAACATGTGGGTCCCGCATATATATATATTTTTAAAATACACAGTGGGGTCCACCCACCGTGAGTATCTGAATTCCATACAAATGGAATAATTCGCATTTCAGTTAGGCTGTCCCCAAATCGATCTGCACCTCTATGACAATATTAGAGACCCTCCTCCACGTTTGAAATAAATACTTACCTCCATCATTTTCTAATTTGAGTATTATATATACACCTTTCCCACTTTTAAGACTAATTACCACTTTTAAGACTAATTAGTGACTAAGAACATATTCAAAAGAATATTTATTTATAAAGAATATCTCATGTATAATAAACAATATCTTTAAATTTAGAAATTAAAATTTTTGTTCTCAATTGGATTGAATCGAAGTTTTTAATAGGTTATGGCTATCAATAAAATTGGGTCCTTGACTCTGGGGCTAGGATCGAGTCATTTCGGGTAGTTTTTGCTTTGTGACTATAGCATGTGAATGGGTCAAAAATAGAAACATTCTTGCCCTTGGACCTTCATATAAAGGCTGCTTGCTGCCTCTATTTGGTCGTGCCACGGTCATCCGGTTTTGCCTAACTTTTGCTCGAAGTTCTAGCTTCTCAATATGAGGTCTTGATCTTACCTCTTTATCTTAACAAAAAAGAGTTTTTTTTTTTTTGGCGACACTCGTTAACTCTCAAAACAATGCTTTGAAAGTGATTGTTGACCGGCGTAGGAAGCTCTGAAGGATGGCAGTGCTCCCAATTAATTATGCAAATGAACTGTACTCTCAATCCCCTCTAAAAATCGTAAGTGGGAGCCTCCCTGCAATCGGCTCACGCCATTTGAGGTGGCCCACCTTCCGACCTTCTTCATCAAATACCATAAGCCCTTAGAGAATTTGTTATTTAACAATACTCTTTATTTTGGCTTTTCATTTTTTTAGAGAAACATTTATTGATTTCTCTCCATCTTTTATTTAACATATTTTTTTTATATATATCAATAGTCGATTAATTCAAATAAGTTTTGAATAATTTAAAAAATAGAGTATTAAAATCTTTAATTTATTAAATGCAATCGTCAGAAAATAAAAATAGAGAGTACGTTTAACTTTCCAAATTTTAATAGTTAATTTAAAAAGTTAGAATGGATAGTTTCTTGAAATATATTTTTAAAAATTGACTCTCTAAATAAAGAGTATTTTGTGTTCAGTGAATCTCTCGAAAACTAATCAATCTAGCTTAATCGGTCCAAAAAGAGTAGTGTTATCCATTCCTAGTGAAGTTACAAATACAGTTTAGATGACTCTAAATGATATATTAAATAAAAGGTGAAATTAAAACTCCAGTTGGGGTGAATATCATTACTAGTCCAAAAATGAGACTCGGGGTAATAATTGTTATTGAAAATGTAAATGCCTTGGAAAACACGGAGATCTAGGTTTAATTTAATTAATCTGAATTAATTGTTACGTCATGTGAACCAAGTTGCAGCAATGATGGAGAGAAGGGTTGGTGAAAATCCAAACTAGAGATGGAAGAAGGGTTGGTTGGTTGGTTGTTCCACTTGGGGAAAAAAAAACTCAATTATTTTTGCAAGATTCTCAAATCAATGCTTTGAAAGTGATTGTTGACTGGCGTAGAAAGCTTTGAAGAATGGTTGTACTTCCAATTAATTACGCAAATGAACTGTACTCTCGATCCCCTATGAAATCGTAAGTGCGAGCCTTCCTACAATCGGCTCACGCCATCTGAGGTGGCCCACCTTCCGACCTTCTTCATCCAATACCATAAGTCCTTAGAGAATTTGTTATCTAACAATACTCTTTATTTTGGCTTTTCATTTTTTTAAAGAAACATTTATTCATTTCTCTCCATCTTTTATTTAACATATTTTTTTATATATCAATAGTCGATTAATTCAAATAAGTTTTGAATAATTTAAAAAATAGAGTATTAAAATCTTTAATTTATTAAATGCAATCGTTAGAAAATAAAAATAGAGTGTGTTTGACTTTTTAAATTTGGATAGCAAAATCTAATCCTTATTTTAAAAAGTTAGAATAGATAGTTTCTTGAAAAATATTTTTAAAAATTGACCCTCTAAATAGAGAATATTTGAGCCGTGCTTGTTGTACCAGGTGGGGGTTGACACAACTGTAGGAAAATTGTTTCAATATTGGATAGCGGGTTTGCAGTAGCAGATTCAAAACCTCGAATACAATGGATTTAAATATACACAACATATTTAATACACAGCAGATTCGACAATATGTTAGATCGCAGTAAAGTGTAACAATTGATTTAAGCAGAACGAGAAACACAAATTTGTATAAACGAGTGACAAACAAATAATCGCTGAATTTAAATGACAGGAAACTTTTAACCCGATGCCCGTGTTCCACACAGTTTCCTTAAAATAGATTCGCTCCCTCACCATCTGTGCTTGGGGTTTAAAAGAGCGTCCGCTTCCCA